AAAAAAAAAAAACCTCTTCGTGACCTTTATCTGACATCTAAGACAGTAGGAACTTCCGTGAGCTGCTCAGGTGGAGCCCCTATCACCCCTCACCTCCTCCTTGCTAGTTGTTGTCAGACTGCCAATCTGAGAATGAGGCCTGAATTGCACTGTACACAGATGGAGGATTCATGCTGCAGAAGTGGAAAGTTTATTTGTTCTCACAGCTGAAAATAAAGGAAAATCCCCCAAACCTTCAGATAATTCAGACACACGGTTAAGCAGCCTTTTTCTTATTTGTCAAAGTTTGACCTGCCATCGACAGCTGCTGACCTTTCCCGTCTTTATCAAATGTGGTCCATATTTTACAAAATTACCTCCATGTTTTGCTCAGCTTGTACTGAAACCCCCAGTTGAAACCAGGAAGTCATCAAGAAAGTGTTTGTTGATGTCACAAGTTAAGGAAGTGCCCCCTGCTGACTGTTAGACAGTACTGCAACATTGAGAAGCGGTGTTCATCTTTTATGTACAGGTGATATACACAGCCACCACCCTATCCTGCCGGCTTAGGCACTCTTTAAAATGTTTTTTGTTTTTTAAATGTCAGTTCAAAGTTTACATTAACCATCCAGATAAATAGCACATTGTCTACAAACCAAATATTAATATAAATTAACTAGGGAGTCTTGCTATCAGTTGTCCATTTATAAACAGCAGTCAGGGAGACATGTTATCAGATAGTATGAACCTGACTCCATCTACACACCACAGCTCTGTGAGGGATGCAGCACCTATGTAAAATTGCTTTTATTAGATAACAAAAAAAGTGCTTAAAGTGGTGGCTCGATACACTGCTGCGTGTCTCCGATACCGTTTTGTTCCATCTGGTAGAATTGGATGCAGTCAGTTCCTGTGGCCACATTGCAGCCAGAATGTAGCGTGGTGTGTTTCAGGGAAAAGATGCTGGCTGCCCTGTTAACATTCTGTTTGTGTGACTGTATTTGTCTTTCTTTGTAGTTCCTCAGCACGCTGTTTGCTCCTCTGAACTTTATCATGGAGAAGGTGGAAAGCATCCTGCCATCCAGCCTCTGGCACCAGCTCACCCGCATCTGACCCCGACCGACAGAAGGGCCGACCGGACCAGGAATCAGACCCAGGACCAGCACCAAGAGCAGACCTCTATCTGGACAGAAACAGCTGAACTGAAATCCAGAACACTGCAGTGGACTAGACTGACGCGCCTCTGTGCCAAGTTCAAACCAAACCGAGAGCAGATGGGAATCCGAGGAGAGGCGCGAAACAAAAATGCTAAACAACACCCAGAATTGGTTTTGACTTTATTTGATATGTTTGCATTTCTTTGGGTTATCAGTCATTTAAAGCTGTTCTTTTGTTGTACAAAAAGAGATGATCAATTGCCATCATTAAAAAGGTGAAAAGGAAAAAAAATACAATAAAGGACTTTTTGTGTATTGCTGCAAAAATGCAGTGTTTTTACTGGCTGTCCCACATACTGTGAAATCAGCTGACCTTGATACCAGCACCACCAGATACAACCGGCTGGGTTTTGTTTCTCTGCAGGATCCATCACATATTTGGAGCTTTCATTCTCAAACTAAAAGCTCACTCCACAGTGGAAAAGTTGTTCCTGCAACTGCTGAAGCTCCACGTCAGCCTATTGCAAGTCCGTCGTCATCGAGTTTGATGGTAAAATGCTCAACTAAACAGCATTAGAAGACACATTCACAGCCTGGTACAACAAACAGTTTTATTTCTCTATAGTTTATAAAAGTTGTGGGATACATTTGAACAGCGAAGCTTAAGCTGTTGTGCAAGCCTGCTTCCATTTGCAGTCCACTCACTGTTGGTGACTGTTTTGATGGAATTATCAGACAGTTGTTGTGGCTTTCAGTGTGGTGTAAAAAGTTTGTGTTGCAGGTATTGTGAAGTGATATGTTTAATAGTAACTGCTTGCTAACCAAGCTTGCATGTGCTGTCTGACTTAGACATCCCAGATATAGCTCTGAATACAAGTCAACAACTCAGGTCCTTTCCCACTAACCCAGTGCCCAGTCCTGAACTGGTTCTGCATATTTGCACCATTCAAGGATTTGCTGGTCCCTTAGGGTTGGTGACGTCATTAGTTATGCAGATTGTCTCCACTGCGATTTCCTTCCCACAGAAACGACCTAAGCAATGCTCAAGCATGTCTGGATGTTTACCAGCTTCCACAAGGTGCCAAAGCAATGCATCTTAATGATGAACTGTGACTCAGACCTCATCACCAGGGTGCATTAATCTAGCTAAACAAGCTGCTTGAGAAGTTTGTCCAGTTAACAGAACACTAGTCAGAGAAATCAGAAACTATTCATGTGTTTTTGTTCATGAGACTCTTTAAATCTGGACACAGTGTAAGTTTAAACCATTTATTCTGTAGAGTTCAGTTGTAAGGCTTATATTTTAATCTTACACAGCTGATGTGCAATTTACAGACAGGACATGTATTACATCTAATGAAGCAACTGGTGAGAACAGCTGCTAGTTTGCTTTACTTGTATTCCTCAGTGTAAAATGACTGCTCAGGCCGCCGCCTCTCCTGTTTGTCACTGATGATGTTTGATTTCACAGAGTCCTGCTTGAATATTGCTCCTTAATCTAATATTGGTAGCAGGCACAATAACAGTGAAATGTAAACAGAGGTCCTAGTTATTAACACATTTCTGAGGAACAATGACAAAATGCGCATTTTAACTACAAGAAAAAGCATTTCTGATTGTTATTTTTTTTTTCTAGTTCTAGATATTTTAATTGTTTTCAAGCATTTATTTTAACAAGATGTTGACTACAATACCCCTTAGACTATCTTAATGACCAGTTACTTATAGTGATTTTCCAGAACAAGGCTGATGTGCAGAGCTGTAACACAGAGGGATAAAGCTGATGAATTATATCTCAAAGCAATGGGAAAGAGTTGTTAAAGCTAAGTTATGAAGAGAGGTAATGATGAGTGAGCAGCATTCTGCTGAGAGAGCGCACTACAAATATGTTTGCTTTGAGAGTGTTGACAGAGGTATAGAGGTCGAAGGGAGTAGCACTGCGTCTTTGTGGACCTAGAGAAGGATATAAGGGCCCAAGAGAGGCACTGTGGTACTGCACGAGGAGTGTCAGAGGATTATGTGAAGCTGGTGAAGGACGTAGGAGGACTGTAAGAGTGCCAGATAGGTTCAAGGTCAGGGATTGACTGAACCCTTTCTTGTTTGCAGTGATGATGGAGAGGTTGACAGATGGCACTGATCTGTAGTGAAAGTAGGGAACAGGTGGAGGTATGCGCTGGAGAGAAGAGGGATGAAAGTCAGTAGACAGAATCCAAGTGTGTGGAAGAGAAGGGAACTGGTAGAGCAGTGAAGCTGCTTTAAATAGCCTGCAAAGCAATAGAGTGCAAAAGAAGAGAGTGCAGGCAGGGTGGAGATAAGTGTTGGGTGATTTGTAACACAGGGATACAAATCACCCAAGCTTACAAGGAGGTAGTGAGACCTACTACGATGCAGTTTGGAGATGGTGGGACTAAGAAGAAAGGAGGTAAAACTGAATGAGGTTGAGTTGAAATATTTTCCATTGTGAATGACCAGGATGAACAGGATTAAACAATTATATCAGAGGGTTGAGCATTTTGGAGACAAAGTTAGAGAGGCAGGGTTGAGATGGTTTGGACATGGGCAGAGGAGAGATGGTGGATATACTGGATGAAGAATGTTGACTATGGAGCACAGAGAAGATTCATGGATGTAGTGAAGGAGGATATGGTTGCAGAAGAGAATGCTAGAGTTAGGGTGAGCTGATCTTCTGTTAGGACTTCTAAAGGGAGCACCCAAAAGAAAATGATCATTCAAACAGAATCCCTGTAGATACTTAAACATATAAGGTCATAAATGTAAAACTTTCCTCATAAATACAGTAAGATGCTATGTCTGTTATCAACATTATGGTTTACTTCTAGCCTTTTTAAAAGACTTGGAGAAGATGGCACTAATGTAGGACATCAGTGAAATTGCTGTAGGTCCTGCCCGCATTAATTTTGCACTGTTTCTGAGTCAAATGACAGTGTCCACTCATTTTCCAGCTGCTGTTTTCTACTAAGTAAGGAGATTTAATGATGGAGAGAGAAAACAGCTGAAGGACCATGTTCTGTGCATATGGTGGTACCTCTGGAGCAGAAAGCCTCTAATGAGCAGACAGAAAGCGAGAGAGAAGCTTGTGATACGCTATGTTGAATGAGACTGGCGTGACAACAGCTTACACTGAAAGCACGCAGGGGAAAAGAACGCTGGTCGTACTTTATGTTGTAAATGGTTTGCTGACAAGTGTAAGGTGCCACGAGAACAAATCTAAACAACAAGCTGATAAACTGTGTGGAGAGCTGCTATGTGTTAAACTAGAGGTGTTGAAGGCTTCACAGGAGCAGACCAAAAACCTCCATGCATGTTGATTCAACAAAACTATAAAAGATATTACACATAATTTAAGTTATATTTCAGTATATACTTGGTCAGTCCTTGGGGCCTGTTTAAGCAACAGTTCATCTCCAAACCATCACAACTGGAGCCAGCAGATCAAATGCTAGCCTGTTAGTCTCTATAGTATTTTTTTGTGTTGGTTCAGCAGGAATCTGAAGCATGATTTGACTGATACATTCTCAAAGTAACAGCTACAGACATTCAGCAGTCAGGCTTTAAATGTCTCTGAGTCTGGAAGTTCTTTCCACGTAGCATCCAAAAGAAGAAAAAGATGTGAATTTTTTTGGTGAGGAAAAGAAAAAAGTGTCTGAAAACCTAACAGACCTTCAGAGGGCTCAGAACTAAAGACAGACTCGAGATTATCAGTTAGATTGTCGTAACAAGACATCAGGTAGAGCTGAGGAGGAACGGGGGGGACTCTGGATGCCCGATATGAGGCGTCAGTCAAGTTTAGTGGTGGCGAGGTCACGTCTGGCCCTTACAGGTGTGCACGTCGACCTGCTGGTGGCAGTCACGGCAGTGGACTGCACAGCACCACTGGAACTTGCACTCGCACTTGGTAGTGCGGCTGATGCGAGACGTGTCGTAGCCACGGCCACAGCACATCACTTCGCAGCCATCTACACCTCGGGATGTCCGGTTGCAGACCCGCCCACCTGTCCCCATCGACCCTGGAGAGAGAGCAAATGAGACGCGGTCAGTGAGAATAAATTTAGCACAGTATGACTATTAATTTAAAATGAGTTTTTGATCTGTGGGACCCACCATAATGGTGAGAACATAAGTTATTAACAGTGGAAAATCAAAACCTAGACAATGTATCAAAGGAACATAAACACCGAACACTAGTTTAGTAGAGAGTGCAAACACTTTGTCTTCCAAGCTAACGTGTTAGAGGTAGGAAAAAGTATTGGGGTCAAATTGTGATGGGTAGACGACTGGGTCACAACATCTCCAAAACTGCGGCTCTGGTGGGGTGTTCCTGGTCTGCAGTGGTCAGTATCTACCAAAACTGGTCCAAGGAAGGAACTTTGGCAAACTAGAGAAAGGGTGATGGGCTGCCGGTCTGATGATTCAGGTTTTTCTCTTGCATCATGTGAATGGCCGGGTCCATATGCGTCACTTACCTGGGAAACACTTGCTACCAGGATGCACTATGGGAAGAAGGCAAGCTTGTGGCGGCAGTGTGACGCTCTGGGCTATGTTCTGCTGTAAAACCTTGGGTCCTCCCATCCATGTGGGTCTTACACCACCTGCCTAAGCATGGTTGCAGATGATGGTATCCCCCCCCTAATGGCTGTGACTTCTTTCAGCAGGATAATGCATCCTCGGTCATTTAACAGTGTTTCAGGAATGGTTTGGGGAGCACAACAATGAGTATGAGGTGTTGACATAGCCTCCAAATTTCTCAGATCTCATCTGTCTCATCCGGACACCCAAGTCTGATACATCGAGGCCCCACCTGGCAAGAGCGGAGTCCACGCCTCGACGGACAGGACGTTCTGACAGCATGCGTAGTGTGTGCATGTCACTCTGTCTGTAAACACGATAGCTAAAAAAGTTTTAAATTAATTCTGACAACTCTGATACTTTTTAGGGGAGGTAGACTGGGGACGTGTTAACAATACTTCCACCAAGGTCTTCAAGGTGAACTCAATGATTTATTGGTAGAAAACTGACAAAAAGCTGTAGAAACTATGATTCTTACAAGTGTGCTGTGTCAACGTATAGAAAGAATGGCATAAAGATTTAAAATGTCACATTTGACCTCTGACCTCACTTCTATATTACACATCAGCCTTTCTTTCAAGTTGACCACAAAATGTGATCTTATAAGTCAAGAGAAAGACAAGGAGCTGCTCCCGAGCGCTGAAACTAAAAACATGGACATAATCAAAATTATAATCATTAGATGTAAACTTTATTCTGCTTTATTGCTACATAGTGTAAAATGCCAAGTTTAAGTCTACTTCATAATTAAAGGTTCTTAAAAAAATGAGGAAAAGTCTGTATTTACCTTGAAAAGTGTTTTTCTCACCAGTATATTAATCTATCATACTACAGTAGAAGGATCTGCCTTTCTGATCACTTCCTACTGCAGTTTTTCCACTGAATGACATTTATACTCACTAAAAGCAAAAACATGTTTCAGTAGTTTCCTTCCAAAAGGAGATTTACTGATGGAACAGTTTAACACCTACACTGCCTGTGATTTCTAGTTTAAGAAGTGACAACCCTGCTGGGAAATAACTGGGACGTCCTAAAGGAATAAAGGAATAAAGGAAAAGTGTTCATGAAGGTAATGGTACTGATGCTTAAAAAATGGACTATAGCATCGTGGAATGTGACTTGGCAGCAGTTGAGCCACAATTTGGCCAATTAGAACGGTTCTATTAGTTTTTAGAAGCCAATAGGAGCAGAGTATAATGCCAGTACGGTGAAGATGAGATGGGGGGGGGATAAGTAAGATGAACGAAAGTGAGATGAGAGATTGATGATAGGAGCCATCAGCCTGCACTCCCACACTTCATCAGCTGTTCATTTTACAGGAGACATCCATCGCCCACACACACACACACACACACACAGATACTGTACACACTCACTTTCTCCTGAATCCCAACTCCAATTACCCACACACACACTTTACGTCGCCACAAACACAGTTAGCGTACCCGAGCTTTGTATGCAGAAGGAATAGCTGGAGCTCAATTTATGATGAAGCTGTGTAGGCCTGCAGATTCGACTGAAAACCATCCACAGGAGTTTTTAGAGGGACTTTTTTTTAGCAGTTTCAGCAGCTTTGATCCACTGATGTTAAACATGAGCAACAGGAGTGTTTTCAGTCTGCTTTGGATGATCAAGCCCAACAGAATCTCTCACGTTTCTATCTAACCGCTGTGAGCAGAGCGTTTGGGTTATAGTGTCTAGATCTCCAGATAACTTCTCTTTGATAGCAGCACAACAAACACAGATGCGCCGGGTGTGGGAAAGGATCATCCCTATGATTTCAGCCAAAATAAAACACATGGGAATGGACGCTTTTGTGACACAATCTGCGCTGAAGTCATACTCTTTCACGGTTTTTGAGTTCATGCTCAGCAGACGTCCAGGAAGCCTTCAGAGCGCTAAATTGTAACAAGGTTCTCACGGCCTGGCTTTTATAAAATATCGACTTTTTAATGAGTCATCACAGAGCTGGTAATGCTATTCAAAATATCCAAATAACATCATTTAGGATTTGTGGAGTTCGGGAGTATTGAGTATTGTATTGAGAGAAAGACTTCATCTCTCTTTTTGACTGAGATATTTATGTTTCTGTGTAACAATATTGTTTTTTGCCTTTCTTCCCCCCAAACTTTACCAAGAAGAAGCTGCATCCATATATCTGTCAGATATGTGCAGTTTACAACTCTTCTCTATAATTCTGTTCAATATCTTGTTGCATAACTACACACATTAGTGAAAGTGCAATCAGCCTTTCCTTCTGAATTCTCATTCGCATCTTTTCTTCATTTTATGAGTTGAACGACTGTCATTCAGGAGAGACTGAGTCAAGCTGCTGCTCCTCAGCGTCGAAGCATCGAAAGGAGCCCGATGAGGTTGTTTAGCCATCTGACCACGATGCCTCCCAGATGCCTCTTAGTTGAGTCGTCTTGGACACGTAGGTCATTCCATGGAAAATCACTGCCTGCCCCCCACCTGTCCCCCCCTTTGAATAAACTAAAAGGGATGGAGACAGCACAAAAGACACACTACTTGAGAATATAAAAAAAATCAAGTGGAAAAAGTACCAAATTTCAACCCAGCCCTACGCAGGTTGACAGAGGTCTACAGCACAGAGGCTAAAATATTGTGTGACTTCTTCAAATGTGTCGATTATTCTAATTATTAGCAGAATGAAGAGCATATTCTGAGAGAGTCATGAATGAATCTTTTCAGATTTGACTGATTTTATATGGAATGAGCCATGTCCTGGCAGGAGCTGAACCTGGGGATATTAGATATCTTGGACTGGTTATTTATACACATGCACCTGATGGATCATATTACAGTAGAAAAGACTGTTATAACAATAAGCTATGTGCTGAAAGAGGTCACAGCCATTGGGGGATGTGCACCTTTGCATGGCAGTAACATCGTCCTGAGGACCCTCGTCTGCCAGAGTGACAACAAACTGATGACTAAGTCCTTGAAGAACATGGTGCTCATATATTTGCTAGTTCAAACAGCTTGCATTTAAGTCTTTATTTACTTTACTTTTTTGTTTTTGAAATTGTTTATGTTTGATCCATTTAATGGTGGTTTTAAAAAAAAAAAGATCGTTTCCACAATTTAGATTTTGTTGATGTGAAGCTTGAGAAAAAGCTTTTTATGATCAAAGTAGTTCTGGTGTAACCGATAACGCTGCAGTCGTTTGTAGCTTTTAATCTCGCAGCCTTTTCACTTCAACATCTTGATAAAGCTGCTGTGAAACATCTGAACTTTAGTGCTGTTGAGCTGCAGATGTTCAGCCAGCAGAGGACTGCTGCTCTGCTGGGCAGGTGTGACTGTTACTGTCTGACTGTAAAGCACAAGTGTTACTGAAAAAGAATGCATGTGTGTGTTCTGCTGACTTCTCCTGTATAAATAAAGGTTTAGAAAAAATTGGCTTCAAGTACCATCTCAAACATTGTTCTGGAATTTGCTCGTGTTTACATTCTGCTTCGCTCTGCGTGTACGCTCCTTCTGCACCATTCCCTCGCCAGGTAATATGTCTGGACATGACCTGAAGCCCTCCCCTCTCTGGCAGCGTGCCCGCCCGTCATCCAAAGTATGCAGCACTGCTAGGGGTGACATCACGGCCAGAGTCTTCCTCACAGCCCTCGATCGCCCTGCGTCTGCTTATTGAATTAAGATGAGGGGGCGCCGAGAGATGAGTTTAGCACCTGAGCCTCAGGGCTGAGGGAAATTGATTTCACACTTTAAAGAGGCACAGAGGGGCCGTCTCGCTATCTCTGTGGGCCCCGAGCCTGTTTGTGGTTTGTGTCTGTGAGAACAGATTTAGTCTGTTTCTTTCCACGAGTGAAGGCGAGTTTGCATGTCTTTCAGAGCGCGTGCACGTGTGTGTGTCTGTGTGTGTGTGTGTTGGGAGAAAGGCTGATTACTTTTCATGGTTGTGCAACCAAAAAGAGGGAGCAGGTGACTCTACATACAGTACATGTTATGATTGAGAGCGAGTTTGTAAGTCTGTGGTTGTCTCATGGGAGTTGGTCTTTAAAGAAGGCGTATGTTACGTTCTCATGAGAGGCCCACTGTGTGTGTGTGTGTGTGTGTGTGTGTGTGTGTGTGTGTGTGTGTGTGTAACCTCACCCTGCTTACATGTACACATCCCATAAAACTTCCATGTCTGCTGTAATGCCTCAACTTGTTCCCAAAAGCAGGGCCTAAGACCTCCAGGGGCCTTTAGACAAAGCAGGATTAGGTGCTTAGTGCAGTAACTTCAGATTTAAACCTGAGTTTTCAGTGTCAGGAAAGTGGTTCATGCCTTGTTTGAGTACCCTGCCACTGTAACTTTTACTACAGATCTAATAAGAGTATCTTATATTTGAGAGAAGATATCAACATGTTCAAAACCACTGACCCATCAATTCTCTGGAAAACAGAATCACCATTCCTAGAAGATCCTGTGCACACTCAGAGGATCTACAGTTCTACAGACCATCTAAGGTTTTTGTGTGTTTCACATAAGCATCAATAGGAAATCTAATCTTCTGAAGAACAACTTCATAGTTTTCATTTTTTACTTCTTGTGAACAAAAACTACCACAGCCCAGCCGAGGGTGAGTTTGATCTGTTAGAGAGAGGCAGACATAAATCAGGAGCTGAAAGCCAAAACAAAAGCATCACTGAGATACGAAACTCAGTTACCTTGTACTATTAACAGCTGTGAAGCCAAAACTGAACTTAAAACTTGATAGACTGCACAGCTGTTAATGAGCTGCAGTTATTATCGTGTTTTATGCTACTGGAGAGAAATTAACCGCACATGTGCCATGTTCTCTGAATTCCCACCAGCCAAAAACTGTGCGATCCGACAGCAGTTTCTGAATGATTTTCAGTGATAACAGGTTCATATAAAGTACTGACAGAATGCAATAATAATTTATTCATAACATTTTGTGCATATATGTATTTAAATAAGATGTTTGTCACATCCATCCACTTGCATTTGTTTTATTCTCTATATCTGCTGCACCTGCTTTTGTTTGCTGTGGTAAAACTCATTATTCTTTATTTTCAGTTATTTAAGAGAGACGATCATGTGATGTACAGCAGTTTAATTATTTCTCTGAGGGCGGAAATTATATTTTATGATAAAAGTTCATTTTTCTTAGTATATGCTGTCAATTATAGTTCTTTGGAATCTGCAAAAATCTGTAATGGCAGATCCCATTAGTCAAAAATAATAATGGAATAGGTATGTCACTGTGCTAAAGCATCACAAAACTGTTTTTATTACTATTGTTTTATTTTTCTAGGTTGGGTGGTTTCATGTGAATTGAGTGAAAATCTTTAAGGGCACTTAAAAAGCTTAAAACTTTCAAAACTACCACTGGGCTGAAATACAGCGCACAGATGTACTGAGCTGTTTTACAATAATCACTACAGCACGGCTGGACATTTGTGTAACACCAATTTGTCCACCAATAGTGGAGAGATTCAGCCGCCCAAGTTAACAAAAACACTCTCGTATTTACAGCGGCAGCAAAGGCCAAGCTTTCTGAGGAAATGGAGTCGCAATAAGAGGCGTCACAGGATAAAACAACAGCACTCATTCAAAAACAGTGCCACATGGTGGTGAAAGTTACAGCTAACATCAGTCACTAACAGAAAGCAAAAAAATAAACAAATAACACAACAAAAATAACAGAAAAAAAAACTTTCACGATTTAGTGAGATTAAAAAATTATGTTTTTGCTCATGAGAATATTCACTGCTCCTACCTCCCAGGAAGTCTCTCACTTCTAAATTTCTCAATGAATGATTAAATTGTAAAAAAGAAAGAAATTATGTCTGGGTGGAGTATTTCGGCACACACACACACACACACACACACACACACACACACACACACACACACACA